AGTTCAAGCTGGGGAGGGAAGAGGAAAGCGGGGCAGCAAGAATCGGGGGACCGGTTATGGAGAGTTTCGCAAAGATCTACCACTTCCGGCTCCTCTACTCGGGGACTACCTTCATGTACCCCATCCTCGGCGCGCTGCGCATGGCGCGCCAGGACGGGCGGCGCGTCCTCTACCGGCGGCTCGAGGGCGGCGGCGGCGAGCAGTACCTCCCTGTCGGCTGCTGGGTCGGCCGCGAGCCGACCCCGCGTGAGATGTCCGAGCTGCTGCCCAGCACGGTGGGATCGGGCGAGGCGCGCGGGGAGAGCGCGGCCGCGCCCCCGGGGTCTGCCACGGGGTCTGCGGACGAGAGGATGCCGTGGGACTGATTGTGACACTGATACTGGTGCAGACGTGAGCGTGCGTGTGTGGATGTGTCTCACAGACAGCGGCCGAAGCCCGGCAGCTCGGGTGGCACAAATAAATAAATAAAAACAGACACCTCTCTACTGTGAGATGTGGGTAAAAAGGAACGGGTTGTTGCACGAGTATATGGGACACAAAAAATACAAAACGGCGAAACGGGGCCATGTCCGACTCCGAGGCTTCCATGCCGGGCCTGGAGCCGTTCCACGTGCGTCAGATCCGGATGGTCGAGCGCGTCCTCGGCCAGAAGGTGTCGCCACGCGACCACGCGATGATTGATTGTCTCGCGGAGCGCATGGAGAGGTACGGTTGGCACTCCGTCAGCATCAACCCGGTGCCGCTTGGGTATCAGTACATCATCCAGGCCAAGTCTGAGAAGAGGCGGGAGGATGAGGCCAGGCAGCAGGCCGCGCAGGACGCTGCGCAGCCTCAGCCTACCGCCACTTTCGCCGCACCGCCCGTGGCACCGCCTGCCGCCGCTGCCGCTCCGGCCGCACGAGCATCGCAGGCACACTCGCAGCACCAACAGGCGCAGCAACCCCGGCCCAACGAGTCGCCCGAGGGGTGGACGAGGGTCGGGAAGGGCGGCAAGCCGGACAGGTTCACCATGAAGAACTTCGGCCGCAACCCGCCAAAGTCGGGCAAGCGGAAGCAGGAACACCGCAAGCCCGCACCCAAGGGAGGTGGACCCCCACCCCCTTCTCCCAAGGTGGTGGACAAGAACAGGCTGAGCGCATTGGGCGCTGGCCCTTCTGGCACCAGCGGGAGCCACGAGCGCGCACCGCCGCGCTCTCCCTCCCCCACCTCGCCGCCTGCCAAATCGCCGCGGCCGTCTGCGCCTGCTTCCGGGTATGACTCCGAGCTCGAATTTTCCGACGCTGAGGCGCGGGATAGGGTGGCAGGGGTTGTGCACGACGCAGTGCAGCAGGCTGTGATGCAATATGGCTATGACGACGAGCTCTACCAGGCATGGAGGGACGGCAAGATAGGCGAAAAGGACTTGCCGGAGGAGGTGATGGCTATGACTTTGGACCTTTGCGAGAGGTGGCGAGCGGAGCAAGCGCGGTGTAGGCGCGCCCACGCGGCGCAGCGGCTCTCCCGCGACCATAGCCCCTCCCGCAGCCGCAGCCGTAGCCGCAGCCCCAACTCTTGCCGCTCTTCCGTGTCGGGTTGTGAGCGAGGGGTGAGGGGACACGGATTGAAGATCCCTCACACCAAGATCGTGCAGGGCGGGGACACATGTCCCTAAATCCCATCTCGTCTCAGAGTTTGACCGTTTTTATTTATTTATTTATTTATATGGGACACGATGTCTCAAATATGAGGGGTTTTGACTCCTACCGGCTCCTGACGCTATCCCTGGCAGCTCTAATGACCAGGATCAGTAGTGCTATGATAGAGGGTGCCCATACTAGCGCAGGAGCTGCCACACTCGCCCGGACCGGCTCCCTCTGGGGCCGGTTCCGCAGCCCGTGAGAGCCGACAGCGGGGCCGTGCCGCGGGTGCCTACTGCCGAGTGCCACAAACACTGCGCCGTCCCGCCATCACCTACAGGCTGTCTTGTGTGATGGTTGGGATGTCCAAACGCCACCATCTTGGCTCTTGCGACCTCAAACCCGCGAGCTGTATGGGTGGTCCTGACGTCGACAGACGCCCGATGACCACGGTGAAGCTGAGCCGTAACGAGTCGACAAGTCTCGTCTGAGCCCGTGGCGGTCGCCGGCTGAGTCGCTGTGCACGGGCCGGTACCTCAGGCGTCACCTCCGCAGCCTCAGGTCTCACACTCCATCACCTCCGCCGGGACGCCGTCGGTGGCACGCTCGGCGGCGAGTTTGTGGCAGCTCCATCTCGAGTACGGCGTCGAGCCTATTCACTCCTGTTGGATCATCACCTCCATTCCGGCCAATGAACAGGTGTACCCCCGGGTTATCGGAAGCCAAGTGCCAACAGCGAGCGGCGGGTGCAATGGACAAGCACTATCATCTCCATCATTGCAATGCCACCAACAACGTCAGTGTTTGAGAGGACTTTGCTGAGGACAAATCCACAGACCAAAACGGCGGTGATCAGCAACAGCAGCTCCTTCTTCAACAGGCAAAAGGAGGCGGTCAGTTTCTCGTTCAACTCCGACTCCTCGATCCAGGCAGCTACATCCTCGATACCAGGCAGCTACACCCGAGGCAAGGAGGATCGCGACAGTGAAGGCTCCGACGACGACCAGGCAGGAGGCGGCGACGGGGGCGGCGGTGATTGGATCAACAACAGTCCAGATGGGAAGGGCAACAATTAAACCGATTCCACCGACGCTGAAGGCAAAATGACAACCATTGATTGTCGCATTCCAAATCTCCGCGATCGACTCGATGATCCAGGGAATCCAGGGAACGATCGATGATAGGAGGATGCTGCTGCCAAGTAGGCAAAGTAGGATGCAGCCTCCTTTGAGTAGGAAGCCAAGCAGCAGAGCGATCGGATCGAGTAGGAAGCCAAGCAGGAGCGGCCGCACACTGCTCGGTACCCCCCCTGCACAACTAAGCTCATCCCTGCTGCTAGAGGGGGGGGGGGGTCTGACCCCCCCAGCAGCAGAGCGCACTGGACCCAGTTCTCCCGCCTCTTCGCCCCCCCCCCCCCCCCTCCCTCCCTCGGCTCGTATTTGAGCGGTACGCTCGAGGCGGTTGTCGGTTCACCGCGCCTTCGAGCCCAATACACCTTCGTCGTGTCGAGTGCTGGCGTTTTACTAACACTTGTGACCATGTGAGTCTATCTTGTAATACCACATGTGCGCCTATACATCAGTGTAGTCTCATCATCGAGTGATTGCTGGCCTGTGGCGTATGACCTCGCGCGGATATCACCAATGACGAGCATGCGAAGATAGGGAACAATATCTTGTACAGCCCGCTGTGATCCCCGCTGTGCCACGGCGTATGATGGGCTGCGAGAGCCGTATCTTCCCCCCTTGAAGCAGAGGCGCCGCGAGGCACGAGAGGCGTAGAAGAGAGGCTGGCGTGCCCCGCACCTCCCGGTTGGCAGTAGGAGGGCCCGCCGGTGAGACCACTGATTTTGATGCCGACCATAAATTCTCGCCACTGGAACGCATGCTACTTACAGCTGCTGTCTGTACAGATGCCAGCACCCCCCACACAGGCAGAGCGCTCCTGCTGGGGGGGGGGTCCGGACCCCCCCAGCAGCAGAGCGCTGCTGCTGGGGGGGAGGTCCCGACCCCCCCAGCAGCAGAGCGCTGCTGCTGGGGGGGGGGTCGGCCACGAGCTTAGTTGTGCAGGGGGGTACCGAGCAGTGTGCGGCCGCTCCAGCAGAACGCTCGGATCTCCGCCGAGTAGGAAGCCAAGCAGCAGAGCGATCGGATCTCCGCCGCCGCCGTGGCCCTTCGTAAAAACCATCACCGATGTTAGTGTATCCCGGCATCCTTCGTGAACTGCTGGGTGTTGGTTGGTGGTGGTCTCCGAAACGGTTGAAAACCGCTTCCCGTATTCACAGCAAAGCCAAAGGGGGGACACTGAGATGTATGTAAAAGAGGGAAGCAGAAGATCGGACAGGGGAGGGACGCGGCCAGAAAGAGGGCGGGCGTATCTCGGGGTTCTATATCGGGATTCAGAACTCAGAGGAATGGGGTATATGAACTTGTTATAACGAAATACATACAACGAAAACGCTAACATCCACCTAAACACAGCTCACGAGGACGCGCGCTAATCAGCATAGATAGAGGTGAGGGTCGTCGAGGTAGGGCTGGGCGATTTAATAGTAGCTCATGTCGTTGTCGTCGCCACCGCACGCCGCCACCGCCATCCCCTTATCCTCCAGGGCCATGGGACTCGGGCCACTTGAAGAGGACGCAGACTTCATACTCCTTCCCCGAATCGAGGTAGGGCTGGGCGATTTTAATGGGGACAAAGTAGCTCATGTCGTCGTCGCACGACACCACCGCCATCCAGCCGTTCGCCGCGAGCAAGTTTCAGCCGTTTATCGAGCAGTATAGCCTCATGTCGTCGGCCTGGCCCGATGGGTGCGAGATGTGTGACACTTGCGCTGTGGTCGGGGCGAGTGGCTCGCTTCGCAAATTCGAACACGACGCGCAGATTGACGGCCACTCGCTCGTCCTGCGGCCAAACTGGATCATCACCAAGGGCTATGAGGGTAAGGTGGGGACGCGGACGAGTATCAACCTGTTCTTCGGCGTGGAGGGGATGGAGCAGTTTGAGAAGCATCAGCGCAGCTTGCCGGAGGAGCGACGTGCCATTGGCTTGATCACTTCCAACTCAGACCGCTCGGTGGCCTCCTTCTTCCGATACATGCACCGCGTACACAAGTCGACTGTGCTCAACAAGACGGCCACCGCCGCGGAAACGCTCGTCAGCACGTGCACGTACACCAGGTTTTGCCAAGAGTTGCGCAACGTTGCATGACACGCACCCCCCCCGCCCCCCTCAGAGCGATCTTCGCATTAAGCAACCAGAGGGTGCTCCTTCCCCGCCCCTCTGGCTGCACGGGCGTGACTCTTCCGGCGGAGCGACGACCCCTAGAATTCGGTTCAGCGTGCCCGACCCAAGCCGACGGATCCACTTTTGGTCGCTCTCCGATCTCCACCACAGCCCGTCGGCACGCGCGCTGCTTGCGGATGCGTTCGCTCGCGCCCAGAGGTACTTGTCGCTCTGCCGCGAGAGCCTCATCACTTCCGTGTACACAGCAGAGCCGTTGCCCCGATTCCACCATCTGCTCCCCAGGTTTTGCCAAGCGTCGTGCAGGACGTGGATCTGGCTCCACTCGGCGGGCGAGACGAGGTTGGCGTACTTGAGCGCGTTGTAGCCGATGAGCAGGCCATGCACGGTCGGGAGCAGCACACGCCACACGTCCTGGTCGCTCTTGTCATTCCGGCGCGGCTTGAAGCGGCTGCGGTTCTGCAGGCCGTCGAAGGCTCGGCGGAAGACGGCCGTCGAAGGCTCGAGCACCATCAGCCCCGAGTTCACCGCCGCGGGGAAGCAGTAGCCCGCGAAGCTCGGTGAGTGCTGCATGACCACGCCTGGCGTGGGCGCGCCCGAGAGGTGGTCGATGTTGCGCAGGACGACGAGGTCCTGATCGAGAACGATGACGCCCGTCGCCCGGCAGATCTCAGCGAGGGCCTTGTGGTAGATAGAGTCAGTGGTAAGGAAGACGCGCGACGGCGTGAAAGTGTGAACGGCGTCTCTTCACACCTCGACACCGTGAACGCCGTCAAACGCCTTCTCGCCGCCCCAAGGGCGCTTTTCGCGCCGCGCTGGAATGTCGCACACACAAGCAGCGAGGAGGAGACTGGGCACGAGGTCGAGGCCGAACGAACCGAAAGCAAGAAGCGAACTCAAGGATGAGTGGTTGTTGTACGGTCAGAGCGCACTGCAGCACGTGACAGGCGCGCGCAAGACATGCGTGCCGCCAAAGACGGCGAGTACGTGCACGTGCGAGGTCCACTTCGAGCCGCGCTGCATCGATCCCGAGCGCGCAGTGCGGCCGCAGCGCGCCGGCGTTCGCGCCGCGCATCGCCGGCACGGTCTTCGGCATCGTCTTCGACCACGACGCGACGAGGGTGCGCTCCTGGTACCGGCACAACCCGCTCCTCTCGTACGAGCACGCGATGCGGAGGATCACGCGGCTGGTGCTCTCGCTGAGGGCGGTCGGCACGCGCCTCCCGATCCACCTCCTCGCCAGCGGCTTCCGCGCTGCCGCGTACGAGGCGGCGCTCGAGGACCTCGGCGTCGTGACGACGCCGCTCGATCACCTCCCGGTCACCTCGCCGTCGTGGGCGTCGCGCCATCACGTGGGCACCTTCTCGAAGCTGCGCGTGCTCTGGCGCTCACGCAGTTCGCGCGGTGCATGTGGCAGCGCACGGCACGATGCGGCCGAGCACAGGCTTCATCATCTCTGTGATCATCGCACTACAGATCTGCCGCAACGTCTCTCTCTTTGGTCTCACCGACGACCCGCGCCAGCCCTTCCACTACTACGGCGAGCCTAAGGCGACTTGCACCAAGGCGATCCCGACCAAGAACGATGAGCCGCTCCATTGGTTCGAGAAGGAGCACGAGATCTACGCCCGCTGGCACCGGGCGGGTAGGCTCACGGTGTACTCATGATAATCTCCCCTTGCTCCCTCCCCGCCCGCCCCCTTCCCTACGGGGTGAGCATGCGACAGTGTGGTCCTGTCTTAGGACGAACTCAGCTGTCTCCAGGGTTGGTTGGGGAATGCAGTGATGACGCAGTCTTTCTGTACTCTTACATCTACCGTACTGGTAATGTATTCACACACACACACACACGCCGCCGCGCCGCGCGCACACGCCCACCGACCGCCCCGCCTAGGTGGGAGAGAGATGGGGATTCGAAAACAGGCCCGCCCTCAGAGTGGGTCGCTTATTCGTTCGACCGCTTTATTGCCGCGATCAAAACTAGGTACACGCCACACACCAGACGACTTGCGAGGAAACTCAACCTGGAAAAAAAATTCTTCTCTCTGATGTTTTGCTTAGATCTCGAAGATTTTTCTTGCTGCTGCTTCGGCGGAGGCTCGATGCTAGCCTCGATGCTCGCCTTGATCGGCGCGTCGCAGGGCTGGGTGGCTGGCCGTCTGCCGCGCCACCCTGCTGCCCGCGCGCTCTCCCGCTGCGCGGAGGCGCCGGACGCCTCGTCGGCCGCGGCCGCCGCGGCCGCGGCCGCTGCTGCTGACTGTGAAGCGTGCGTCGAGGACGGCTACGTGCCTCAGCAGCACAACTGGGAGTCGCTCCCGAACCCGCAATTCGATTACACTGCCGCGGGCGACTCGGACTGGCTGCTAGCCGGCGCGGCGGCGCTGTCGCAGCACACTGCTGCGCTGGCTCCGCAGTTTGCAGCGGTGCGCGAGCGGCCATTCTTCCGCTTTTTCGCGGTCGACCTGCTCGCCTCGTGCGGGTACGTGCCGCAGAACGAGGTGCCGTGCGAGCTCGACGCCTGCGAAATCGAGCCGACGGAGGACGTGCCGCCGCCGATGATGGAGCGCGACGCCAACGAGTGCGCCTCGCCACTGCGCCAGCCTCGCAGCTGCGCCAGCCTCGCAGCTGCGCCAGCCTCGCTGCGGGAGCGAGGGAGGGGGGAAAGGG